TGAAATAATGGAATTTGGTCATTCAAAAAATGGTATTCATGTCAAATTGTGGCGTAGTGTATGAGAAAACAGATTTATTAAAATGTCTCTAAAAAATACATGCTATCTGAACAACAATAAAAATCAGGCAAGGCAATTAAAGAGGAGTGAAAAAAAGACAGTAAAATCTTTGGTACAATGCCACGGTGGTAGAAGGAATTACAAAAAAATAAAAGAAAATTGTCTTACGGGCCGTGGGCCATGGCACTTTCAGTGTTTACGGGCTTTAGTTTTGGGCTTTTAGTCCACATATGTTTCCATAAACCAAACTAGTACGACAGCAAGCATGACTGCGCGAGGAGCGTCCAACTTCATACGTGAGCTACAGCTCCGATCTGACTTGACCACGCACGATGTTCTGCACATCGAGTTGGCCGTCGACCACGCCGGCACTAGACCTGAAGCCGCCAAGCGCCTCAGGTGGCGGGCTGTCGCCGCTGCTAACGCGAGGCCAGGCGGCGGCATCATTGGAGCGCGAGAAGAAGCCCATTCAGCAAATCCAGCAGCCGAGGGATTGCGCGCGCGGACGTGTTGTGGTGGGAGGTCGACACGGTGGCAGATGCGACCGTGGTGACCAAGATGGCCACGAGGCACGTGGATGGGCGCGCGCGGGAGGCGGTGGCGGAGCTCCACGGTCTCATGGTCACGAGGACGAACGGGATGCAGGCCGATAAGAAGCTGCGGGAGGGGCGAGGAGTTCAGAACACAGAAGACCAAATAGAGTTTCTTTGCTTCCACGCCGTACCTATCGATCTCCGAGGTCGAACCAAAGTCACGTACTTTGATAAAACTACGTGTGCCCATATTTGCCTCTTTTGCTTGCCCTTACGTCGTGCTCATGCACACATGTCGCCAAAAGGAAATAATTAACAAATTTGAGTTGCATGTGTCTCATTGACAAGCGAGAGGTTGTGACGTGACGTGAGCGAGTTTGGTTCGTATACGACACATGGGGCCTTAGTTTTCAAAATAAACACAAAAGAAATCCGATCGGTACGCGTGTATTTGGATTAGGATTCCTAATTATGTTATGATTATTTCAAGATATCATACATATTGTAAGGAAAATAGACCCTAGGCACATTTACTTTGGATTTTGGTGTTTGATGACCAACACTATCAAATTGGACTAATGAATTTGCAAGTGATTGTTTTATAGTTCAATAGGGTGCAAAACATGACTTGGACGAAGGCGACGTGATGATCCGATGATCAACACCATAAGCAAGATCCTAGAAGCACAAGAGAAGACCCAAGATATCAAGCATAGTCCAAGCACGAAGATAGGAACCAAGCCGGATACAAGATCGTGAAGAAACATGCTTGGCACAGTGACCGGACGCAGCGACCGGACGCAGCCCTTATAGGGACCGAATGTGTCCAATCAATTGCTCGGCAACAGCAGGCGTCAGCAGCAGCGACCATACGCTGAAAACTGAAAGTGACCGGACACACTGATGGCACTATTCATCATCCCGGCAACACATTCAGCACTAACGGGACACTGGTGGCAAATTGACCGGACGCAGGAACTGCAGCGTCCAATCGACTCCAAAGAGGTTCCAGAGCGGCGAAGTTGCTACCGGACGTGTCTGGTGGCATGTGACCGGACGCCATCAGCGTCCGATCAGTTGATTGCGTGCTCTAATGGTCGGGACGACCGGACGAGTCCGGTCAGGATGAAAGCAGCGTCTGGCCAGTAGCAGAAAAGCGGGATTTTATCCCCAACGGCTACTTTCTCAATGGGCTTATAAATAGACCCTCAACCGGCCATTTGAGATGCGTGGAGCTGAGGAAACATACCAAGGGTGTTGATACACCATTTTAGTGGTCTCCACTTGCATACTGCTTAGTGATTCATTAGGTGATTAGCGTAGGTACTTTGCGAAGTGCTTAGGTTGATTAGATCACCGCTTATGCGCTTGCTCTAGGTTTAGGCCTAGTGTTTAGTGAGGTTTGCATACCTCCTACCACTCGGTGCTTGCGCACACCATTATTGTACATCGGAGGGGCTTGTAGTCTTGCGAGATCATACCAACCGCGTTTGTGATGTGGCCGCCACTGTGTACCAAAGGGAACAAGGCCCATGACGGTTCGGCCGGAAGCTTGATAGTGAAGATGACGGGGAGCGATCCCACTTGCGCGTGGGGAAGGCCCGGGGCTATCCACGGAGTTACCCCGACCGGGAGCTTGGCCCTTACGAGGGGCTCCAACGAGAACTAGGGGAAGCTTGCGCCCTTCTCGATACCTCAGTAAAAATACCAGAGTCGTCAACGGGAGTTTGCATATCTCTACCTTACTCTTTAGCTTCCGTATTTATATTGTTTGCATAACTCCTTTTGCGGTAGAGATTGCAACATACTAACAAAACCGTAGTTGCATATTTCGATAGTTTATCTTTTGCATAGGTTTTACTAAGAAAAGGAAAATAGGGCATAGCTTAGAGTTGGAGTTTTAAGTTGCCTAATTCACCCCCCTCTTAGGCGTCACGGTCCGCTTTCACATATGTCGTTTATAAATATAACATGGGAGATATAGATAGATGTGAAGAGAGATAATTTGCACATTCATGAAGTTAGTTAGGGGACGATGGATGAACAAAATTGCCGCAAATTTTTACCTCTTTATTATTAAGGTATATATATATATATATATATATATATATATATATAGGTATAAATAAATATAAATATAATTCGGGCCTATGTACAACCGATTGAACTCAAGCTCGGTGAGTGACGTCGGTTGCTACGCTCTGGCCTGCCACGCACTGGGGAGCTCCGGCGGCTGCATCCAGTTCCACAACTCGTGCCAGTACATGGTCGAGTACGGCGACGGCTCTTCCACAGCGGGTGATTTTGGCATCGAGACGCTGACCTTCATGCTGCGCGTCCGCGTACCGGACGTGGCGTTCGGGTGCGGCTCCGACAACCAGGGTCTGTTCCCAGCGCTAGCGGAGGGGATCCTGGGCCTCGGCAGAGGGAGCTTGTGGTTCCCGAGCAAGATCGCCGGCCGCGCTACGGCTGGAGCTTCTCCTACTGCCTGGCCAGCGTAGGTCCCCGCTGCTCCTCAACCCTGACCTTCGGCTCGGGCGCTACGGTCAACACCCCGCCGGCATCCTTCACCCCCATGTTGACCAACCCGCACATGTACACGTTCTACTGCGCGCGTCTCATCGGCATCAGCGTGGGCGGCGTGCGTGTGCCGGGCGTCACCGAATCTGACCTCCGCCTTTGTTGGGACATGGATATATGGGCCGCGAAGGCTTAGCGTTACTCTAGCAAATAAAAGCTAACGATGTGGATCATATGGCAAGCAATTTTCAAGGACCATGCAGGGGACCTCCGCTAGCGCCAGTGGCGAATCTAGGATTTTAACTTTAGGTATGCCGCCAAAAAAAATTCATATATAATTTGGTAAATCCATTTTAGCAATTCAGTAACAATTGTAAATTTTATAACATGATTTGATATACATGCACTAAGTAACTTGATAAGGCTTAAATTCAAGGATTAAGTTGAAACCATCTACTAAATACAATATAAATAGTTCAAAAGCCATACTGATAGTTTAAATATAGGCATAAAAGAGTATCAGAGGCTTACAATGCTATTTTTTCAGACTGTTTTATTCGACGCTTTCCAAGGAATATGAATGTCTTATTATATCTTCTTCATCAACCAGATCAACCACTGGTCTTCCACCACTGGTTCAACCTGATAAGGTGGAGGATTAGAAGGTTCAACTGGCTATGAATGTTACCAAATAGCTATGAATGTAGAAAATAATTTTCTAAAAAACATGAAGAGCAAAGATCAAAATTTACCTAACCAAAATAGCGAATCAAGACGATAAGTCCTGACTGGCGCAACCGTATATTCTGCAGACAGGACGTGGGAATTAGACGGCGATCCTCCGATCCAGCATTCAGAGCATGGCGGAGGGCGGCAGGGCACCAGGGGTCGCGCCCGGCCAGGGCGTCACAGACTCACATGTCAGGCGGCGACGCCCGTGTTCCTCCGTGGCTCCCCGTCTGATCGAGATTAGATTAGGAAATTCGAAGGGTCGTATACGAAGCGCACATACCGGACGTTTGGACTTTGGAGAATTGGAGTTCCCTTGCCACATGGGCCGCGTCAGTGCATCATATGGGCCTCCCGTCATCACGTAATGGTGTCCACGTATGTTTTTTTTCTTTTTAACAAATACAGCATATATACAATATAATAATATATATACTACTGCTGGCCAAGTTTGCAGGGTATGCCGGTGCATACCCGGCATACCCTGTGGCTACGCCACTGGCTAGCGCCGCCCTTGGTTGACAAAGGCCTGGCGCAAGAGTCATGGCGAAGGCGGCCCCCAGGACGGCGAAGGCTTGGCGCAACAGTCGTGGCGAAGGCATTCGGGGCAGTGGAGGCCTGGCAGGGTGCAGAGCGCGGGCACCGGGATCAAGTCGGTGGAGGCAGATAACATGGCCAGACCGGAAAGGTCGGCAGGAGCCTCCGTCAGTTGATGAGCCTCCCATGGGCGCCGGCTAAGGCCCATGCAGCAAGGCTGTTGGTAAAAGAGAAGCCCCAAGTTACCCCCGGAAGTCTAGCTTGAGTGCAGGAATATCCCAAGTATGTGGCAGACGGTATTTTTGTAAAAGAGTTTCCTCTTGTACAATGACCTATAAAAGGGGAGGGTGAATCCCATGTAAGAGTTAGTTGAACCTTATTTATGAAACCCTAGATTTGGTGGGCCTTACTCTGTGTGTTCACCTCTGTTCTCCACGGGGCTTAGCCTTGGGCCTGTGCCGGAGGCCTCCGCCCCATATTTCGTTCTGTTAGGGATAGTTCCCCAACAGCCTTGACTCGTCCACAGGCCATGGTGGCGTCATCGTGGACTCCGGCACTGCCGTGACCCACCTCGCTGGCCCCACGTACACCGCATTCCGCGACGCCTTCCTAACGGCCGCAATGACGAACCTCTGCTGGCCCTCCTCGGGCGGCCCCTTTGGCTTCTTCGACACCTGCTATAGCGTGCGCGGACTCGTGAGGTGCCTGCTGTGTCGATGCACTTCGCCGGCAGCATCGAGGTGAAGCTCCCTCCCTAGAACTACCTCATCCCCGTGTACTCCAAGGGCACCATGTGCTTCGCGTTTGCCGGCAGCGGTGACCGTGGTGTCTCCATCTTCGGCAACATCCAGCTGCAGGGGTTCCGAGTCGTGCACGACGTCGACGGCCAGCGTGTTGGGTTCGTGCCAAATAGCTGCTGAGAGAGGAAGAGCAGTGGTCGATTGATCGCATAATTGAGTACTCATATATTTACACCTCTGTCGGTTCGTCTCAAAAGGAATATAATTTTCATTTTTCAATGAGTCACATTTATTCTTGATTTACATAAGTTAATTCATCTCAAGTTTGACTAATTAAACATAGGCAGAATTTGCTACCGGACATGCCAAGTGACCCCTCTTTGCTAGCGGACATGCAAAAATTGACGATCTGCTGGTGAACACTCTGGTCCTAACAAATTTGCTGGTGGACATCCCATCTAATAAAATATTAATTTCTAGCTGCTGTGGAGAGAGAAGGACGGTAAAATGTCCAATTTGCCCCTGCCCTTTCTTCTACACCTCTTTCTTCTTCCCCATCTGCTCCGAGCAGCGTCGCGTCCTCCCTTCTCCCTCTCCGAGCAGCCCCACAGCGCCGCCGTCGACGGTGGCTGCGCCCCTCCTCCGAGCCGCACCGCGTCCTCCCTCCCCCTCCGAGCAACACCATGGCCAAGCAGGGCCACCACCGGCATGGCCACCGTGGCTGCTGCTGCTGGGGCGGCGCGGCCACCCAGGCTTCCTCCCCGCGTCCACCGCGGCATGGCCACCGTGGCTGCTGCTGCTGGGGCGGCGCGGCCACCTAGGCTTCCTCCCCGCGTCCACCGCACCCGTGTGGACCGAGCCTACACCCGCCAGTCGCACCCGCCCTCGCTCGATCTGTTCATCCCGCACGCGCCGTGTCAGAGTTGCGGCGCCATTGACGGCCTGCATGTGAAGCTCGCGACCCGGCTCTCTCCTCCTCTCCCCCGCCCCTATAAAGAGCGCCCTCGGACTCCTCTCTGCTCGCTGCGTCTGCCTCGCCCTCCCGAGCTCCCTCCCGCACCGCAGCGACCACACTTGCCACCGCGGCCGCCATTGATGACCGGCTTTTAAGTTCCGCGACCCGGCCATCCTTCCCCTCCCCGCCCTATTTAAGGGAAGCACCGGGACCGCGATCGCACGCCGCCACCACTCCTTCCCTCCTCGAGCCTCCTCTCTTGCTCCAGTGCCTCGAATCGCCACCGCCGCCGCCATGGCCGACCACAGCTCGAGATCATCGATCTCCCCGTGCACACCTCCTTTCGCCACCCCGTTTCCTCCATTGGAACCGCAGTGGCATGGCACGTCCGCCCAACCCCTCAAAGGCCTCGATTCAAAGCCGCAGCACCTTCCCCTGTCCTCGCCGGAGCTCCAAGCCGAACCATCGCCGTTGCTTCTGTCTTCCTGGACACGAAGGCAGCGAACCACGGTAGGCCACATCACCTATATGAGCCAATCCTATCGCGCCACGTAGCCGTCAAATGCCACATCAGCTGAAGTCAAGCCCAGTGATCACAGTTTTACCGTGCGTGGGCCCCGCGCCGCCGTGGCCAGAGGAAGGAGACCAAGGTAGAAGAAACAGCCAGGGGCAGAAAGGACATTTCCCGTGCTTCTCTCTCCTCGAAAGCCCGGAAATGAATATTTTATTCGGTCCGGTGTCCACCAGCAAATTTGTAAGGAACCAGAGTGTCCACCAGCAGATCGTCAAATTTTGCATGTCCGCTAGCAAAGAGGGGTCACTTGGCATGTCCGGTAGCAAATTCTGCCTTAAACATATGAAAAATAATAATATTTACTATGCATAATAATAATAATTAGGTGCACTAGATAGTCCATCAACCCGTGCTCACGCATAAGTTAGAATCTTATATAAGATATAATTGTGATAGACTTGTCAATTACTTATACATATCTTTTTATCTCCATCCGGTTTTTTCCCTTTGCATGGCAACGCTTTTTCTTGAGGGGATTTGCATGGCAGCCCTGTGCATATTCAATATGCATTTCGTTAACATCATAGCTTAAACTATGGTAGCTGTGGTTGCAGCTCATATCTTATGATGTCACTAATCTAAATTTTGATATCATTTTTAATCTTGTAAACTATAGATTTCGAGAATGCACACGATGAGTTGTTTTATATATAAGCGTTCAGATTAGGTGTTTACATGATGCTATCGGGTTCTTTCATAAAGAAACGACACCAGCTTGTATTATTCTATTAGCAATATAATATTATTTTGTTTCCGATCAAACTTCTCAACTTTTGACTATTTTTATAAAAAAACATATTAACATGTACAATATCTTTAAATGCACAACCCAAATATTTTTTTGCCATATCTAATGAACCTATTGAATGTTGTAGATGTTTGTATCTTTATCTATAATTAAATCTAGTTAATAAAGCTAACCAAGTTTGACTTTGAATAAAACTTAGGACTCGTTTGGCTCGGCTCTGCATGGCTCCTGCTTTACCTACCTGTATCATGTGCATCACTGTGCGGTCCTGTAGCAGCCTGTGCAACACCTCCGGCTCTGGCAGATTTACACTGAGAACGTGGAGGAGCCACGGATTTGGTGCTCGGGCACCTCCTCTACAGTACTGCTACAGCCGCCTAGTGTATACGTAGTCTATCTCTAATCTTTTGTTGTAGCTACAGCCGCCTGCTGTATCTGCTTGCTGCATGCTAACCATGGCGTCACTCTCGCCGGAGACGTGGCCTCATTAATCTCCCAGCAGACATATAACCACCACCCCCTGCAGCCATGGAATCACTCACTCCAGATCACTTCTACATACTGATCCAGCAAGTGACTGCTGCTCGCTTGCTAACAACCATGGTGCGTGAACGCCACCACAGCTGAGTTCCTCGCGCGTCGCGTCCAGCGCGACAAGCGGAGGGCAGCATGGATCATCTCGAAGGCGGCGGCGGCGGGGGGCAACGCCACGTGGGTCCTACTACTCTCTGGCGGCGACAGGTTTGTGGCGCCGGTGGTTTCGGGGGCGTGCAGGATATCGTGAAGGTCAGGGCACCCGTCCGCATTCCACGAGCCGACAGGTCAGGGCACCAGTCCGCATTCCACGGGCCGATAGGTGAGGGAACCAGTCGGCATTCCACGGGCCGATAGTTTTAGAAAGACTTTTTGAGATACTCTTAATCTACTAATCAAAGCAACTTTCTCGCTAGCTCCTTTTCCCTTCTCATATATAACCACCAACCCCTGCGGCCTTGGCAAAACTCAAGGTCACCTCTGATCGAAGCAAGCGACTCGTAACTGACATTTTATCATTTATACAATATAGGGTTATTTTGTTGCCGGTCAAACTTCTCAACTTTTGACTAAGTTTATATAAAAACATATTAACATCTACGATATCATTAAATGCCCTACCCAAATATTTTTTTCTTGGCTTGTCTAATTAATATATTTAATTTTGTAAATGTTTATTTGTATTGTTATCTATAAATGTTGTTAGTAAAGATAAGCAAGTTTGACTTTGAACAAAACTAAGTGCATGTTTGCCATGGCTCGTGCTCCAACAGCTCCTCCACAGGAACCTTTGTTGGAGCCAGAGCAGAAGGATCAAAAGTAGCTTCTACTCTACATGTAAAAACAGTTTTGACTCCTCATATCTATAAAAAAATAGCTCCTCCTCTACGGGTGCTTCTTCTACCTCTCGCCAAGAGCGTTGGCGTGTGTGTGTTTGAGTGGTTCCTTGGCGAAGCCAACATACATCGCCAAGATCACGGTGGGCACAATGGCGTCGAGGCGCTGCTGGCGCTGGACACGGGTAACCACGTCACATGGCTGCCGTGCCAACCATGCCGACAGTGATACCCGCAGTCCGGGCCCGTGTTCGACCCACGGCACTCGACGTCATACTGCGAAATGGGGTATGACGCGCCAGATTGCCAAGCGCTGGGACGATCCGGCGGCGGCGACGCGAAGCGCATGACGTGCGTCTATGCCATGGGATACGGGGACGACTCTACGACGGTGGGAGACTTCATCAAGGAGATGATGACCTTCGCGGGCGGCGTCCAGGTTCCGCACCTGTCGATCGGCTATGGCGATGACAACAAGGGCCTGTGTTCGGGGCGCCGGGCGCGGGGGTCCTGGGCCTCGGCCGTGGCCAAATATCGTGCCCGAGCCAGATTGCTACTCTCGGCTACAACGCCACGAGCTTCTCCTACTGTCTCCTTGACTTCTTGTCAAGCCCCGGCTCCCACTCCTCCACCCTCACCTTCGGTGCCGGCGCCGTGGAGATGTCCCCGCCAGCGTCCTTCACCCCCATGGTATGGAACCCGAACATGGGCACATTCTACTACGTGCGGCTTATCGGCGTCAGTGTGGGTGGCACGCGCATGCCGGGTGTGACTGAGCGTGACCTCCAGCTAGACCCATACACGGGTCACTGCGGCGTCATCCTAGACTTTGGCATCACCGTGACGCGGCTTGCCCTCCCAGTGTACATCGTAATCCTTGACGCCTTCCGCACCGCGGCAACCGATCTCGGCCAGGTCTCCATCGGTGGCCCCTCCGGCTTCTTCGATACGTGCTACATCGTTGGCAGAGGGGGCGTGATGGTGCCCACTGTGGGGGGGGGGGGGTAGGGCGGGCGGGCGCGTGGTCAGGAGAGAGGGGAGGGGCCAGGGAAGGGGAAGTGGTATTAGATTACTTGCTTCCTTAAGATTGAATGGTTACAATCCCCTCCTATTTATAGTCCTTGGAGACTTGGTTCTTAAGCAATCCTACTTTTCTAAAAGAACCTTTATAGATTCGGGTCTCTTTCGTAACAAACCTTAATCTAATCTTTCTGAGCACACCCTTACTACTTTTCCTATTCTATTCTTACTCCCCTTGATTGGCGAGCCCTGCTTTCAGCGGTGGCGGCCCTCCATGGCCACCCCCCCCAGATGCGCCGCGCCCTCCTCGGGCTATGCGCTTGAGGGGGCCAAGGCCCACAGCGTGGCTCTCATGCTGTGCCTAGCTTGGTCAGCTTGGTTTATAGTCAGGGGCCCACATTGAGTGTATGACAAAATGTATGTTGAATATAGGGACGGTGATAGGGCTAAGATGAAAACGTGCATAGAGGTGCTCAAGTTGAGTTCGGATAGGGATTGATTCATGAAGGCTTTCTTGCTTCTAGCTTTGGGGTCTCTTCATTGTACGAGCACAACAAATGCAGTGACCTTGAAGTATCTTCATAGCCTACGTGATGTATCAAAGATCAATGAATTCGATTGGGTTGGCCATATCCTAGAGGTGGTGATGGAAGAGGTGAAGAAATACAAGAGATTATCTCCTGAGCATGCCCATTACGTTGGATCTTCTCTTGCAATTTTAGCTGTATTTCGACTTTCTTCGTTACATTGCTTATTATCCATGTACTGTACTATCTTCAAATCATCGTATTGTTTTGTACTATCTTCAACTTTCCTTTGTTACATGGCTCAGCGCCGAGGTGACAAGTGGCGGAGCTAGGGGGCAATAACCCCCCCCGACTTAACATGTCACAACAAAATATTTGTAGTAGTATATAATTTTATAATTTTAGGCTTGTGAAAAGAGAGTATAAACAAAATAATATAATTGTTATATATACCTATTAATATCTTTTACACCCTCCGTCCAATAAAAAGTGTCATTGTCGCTTTTTGAGAATTCAAACATCTTCGCCCTGGGCTGTCCTTATGCTCGGTTGACGAAGCTTTTCACCAAAGCAGCAAGCTCGAGAGCACAAGTAACCTTGTTTATTGGGATTATTTCCCATTGTAACATGTACACCATATATATATATAATGAAACTGAAGGCCGCCGTGATTGTGTGCACTGTGCTTTCCCAATCTCTTCCACGTTTACATGGTATCATTCGCTGGTTTCCAATCCTAGGCCTCCTTCTCCCACCTCCTCCCAGCGCCACCACTGTTCATCGCCACGACGACCGAGCCGGCTGCTATGTCCAGCTCCTGCTTGTCCTCCATGAGCGACAACGCGACCAGCGCCATGTCTGGCCACACTAGGAGTCAGAACTCGTCCTCAACACTCTCTATGGCTTGAACGATGACTTCTGCACTGCCTCCTACATCATCGCCTTCACCGAGCCCCTGCCGTCCTTCGCCAGGACTCGCAACTTGCTCCTCACCAGCGGGCACTCGCACAACAAGGGCCGCTGTCGACACAGAATTTTTGTCTCCGTGCCGAGGACACACGCAGCAAGCCGAAAAGGTCCACTCGATAGAGCAGATCCGCCTAGTTTCAGCGCAAGGGTGATCGATCCTGCGCAAGTCCTCCCGAGACGTGCCAGTCAATTTGACCATGTAATTGATAAGGAGAGAAAGTTTATCAGTAATTAAGGGCGGAACGTGCTGGTGTTGCCAGACAATCCCGAATGTGCGGCTCTGAGAGCCGATATGAGAGGAGATCGACTAAATAGTCGATTCCAGCATATTCATAAGAATAAATCGGTTAAAGCTCATGGGGTTGTGTAAGAAGAATCGGTTATCATCCAGGATAAATATAAATTCGAGCAAAATTTAATCAATGGCAATAAGATATCCATGATGATCGATTTAAACTGAGCCAATGATTACAAGTAACCGAACCCCTTTTTATATAAAGAAACAATTTAACACCACTTAACCATCTAACAAAGATAAATCTAATGAACATGTTAGATCTCATCTATCGCCATGACCAGTGGGGCATGAGGCAGAATCATACAGGCCGTAATACAATAATAAGATTATGGGGCTAACATATCTTTCAACTTATCTCTACTTCAATGGTCTCGTGATGTGAACTGCTCGTGAAAGCACTCGATACCGGCTAAACAGCCGATTCAGGCATAGCACACAGTTAAGGTCATGCCTTCTCCATAATGGATCTACCAACTAACGATCCCCGCTCCACGGTGCTAACAGTGGGGTGAGAGGCAGAATCCCATAGGCCGTGATAACGGGCCATGGAACGGTTCTCGCTAACCAATAGATCTACTCAAGATCGAACATACCTTAACCGCACACTATGCATGATTAAGATTGATATAAAACAGCCGATAAAAGCATAACTCATCGTTTAAGACGTAGATTAGATCAATTTTAGATTAGCAAACGATGGGTTAAATAAGATATAAGGCCGATCCAAATCAATCTCAATCGGGCAGAGTGATATTGCTATAATTAGATAGATAATGAAAGCAATAAGCAATATCGGTAACTTAATGAATCTACCAAAGACTGCCATTCAAAGGTAGAGCCGATAACTTGACCTTGATCTAGTTCAAGCAGTGGGGTGTGAGGCAGAATCACACAGACCATACTTGAACTAGGCAAGAGTCGATAACTAGCTTATACCAGAGCCGCAGTGGGGGTCGACCGGATCGATGCAGCCATATGAACAGAGGTATAAACCATGACGGTACTTACAACAAGCAGTGGAGGTTGACCAGATCGATGCAGCCGTACTTGCTGAAGAACTTGCCGAGATCTACTCTACTCCTACTCCTAAGGGGTGGCCGGAGCCGAAAAAGTAAATTGACTTGTATTTGATTGATTGCGTGTTCCTTACAATAGCCGGGGTTTGATATTTATACCCGGAGTCTAGACATGAATCCTACTCGAGCACGATTTGTTACAATCTTTGGCATAAAAAACGAAAACATTCCTAATTTAAGATAACTTGGACTCTAATCTTTCCCTTTTTGTAGAGTCCAGCATGCCTCGTCCCAGCGCCGATCATAGCTTCTGTCGTTATCCACCGGCGCTATCTGAAGAAAGCCGATTCTAGTGCTATATCCGAATCAGCTGTTTTCAATCTTCACGCAATTGATCCCTTGCTGACATGGTTTTTGGGAGCTTTCGAGCCTCTGAAATTCTTCTTCCAAATTCTGGTGTAAACACATGCCCCCCAATTTTGGGATAAAAGTAATTTTATTCTAAAATTATCCTGTCTGCATCCGTGATTGGTCCATAGTCACGGGTAGAGAACCTTGATCTGGGGTCCACCGTCCGTCCCCGCTTGCGTCCATTCACGAGCCTATGCCCCAAAACTTTTGCAAGAGCACCACTGTTTCACGAGCATTTGGATTCATCTTCCCGGGCCGGCTATAAAATGCTCATCCGACCCTGGCGAGAGCTACTCACTACTTCAGCCATGTTTCTCTTCCATCCATCTTTTCGAGTGCTCCCAACTCCACTGGACCCTCCATGGTCTATCCTTTTGTTATGATGATCTTGAGCGGTTAGAAGAATTCTTGTGTATGGGGTGATTGTGTCACTCATTCTAGCGCTTCGTTGAGCAAGAAGACCAGCCATTGCGGTTAGAAGGATTCTTGTGATATCACCTGAGTCTTCTCTCCATGCTCGCAAAGCTGTTTTAGCGTCTTGTGAAGGCTAGAATATGTGGACACCTTCCCTTGTTTGTTCCATCAAATGCCTATCGGGAAAGCCACAAGCTTTTTTTCCAGCGGTCTCCCAGTCACCGAGGAATTAGTTGGGTACCTGTTAGGCAGGCGGCTTTTCCCTTTCTCTTGCACAATCTTATCAATGGGCCGATGTGACTTGGTTTATGATGACCCTCGGCCTTATGGGGATTCGGACTCCCTTCAATCCAAATAAACTGGATAGGCTGATCTCTGGTAAAATCTTCGAATCTGTTTTAGATCTTTTGTAATTTGAGGAAGCAATAAGTCCAAATCTGTTATCTCTTCGTTATCCGTCTCCTGAACTTTCGGAGTGCCGTTCCATTTCCGTTTCTGATTCCAAACTCATACCCCTGGCGAAATCTATCTTCTCGCCTTCCTAGGCTATATAAACAGGCCCCGGCAGTGGATCTAAGGATAACTTACTTTGCCTCAAACCTTCTGCACCCTTAGCACAGTTCCTACTTTTTCGTAGGTCAGAGTTCATGGAGAACAGCAAGAAGTCTCCTGAGAAGGTCTTCATTGGATCTGCATCATCACGTCGGCGCCTTCGTCGTCAGGAAGGTATATCATGTGATGCCTCCGCTGCCTCGGGGAACAGGGCCGACTCCATTTGGCCTACAAGGCCTTCCTTGTCGATGGCTTGCCGCCAACCCCCTTGCCATTAGATGAGGTGGATTGATAATAATGATCTGCTTGCCTCCATTGATCAACATGGCCAGAGTCTCGCTGAGTGTCTATCCCTCGTAGAATCAGCCCTGGCCATGGTTCGATGCCGATCACCTCCTACGACCGATTCGGTGGAGGATAGGTTGGCCAAGGCCGAGGCTAGAATTGCGGGTGAGATACCCATCATAACCTCTGTTTCTTTTCAACTTTTCCCTCAGGATTCTGATCATCTCCTTTTCGAACTTTTCAGATTTGTCCGCCCAACTAGAGAGCCTTCAATTGGCTACGGAGCACACGGCGGGATTTGTCAATGCAAGAGGCGCTGTCCTGGTGGTTCGCCTGTACGACATCCCGAACCGCGTCAGGGAGGTCGCTCTTCATGGTGTCCGTCACGGTGCTACCACAGCGTTGGCTGCTACACAGGCCCGTTCTGGCTGCAATCTCCGGCTTCTTCCTCATGGTTTCCCAGACGCGATGCATCCCGAGGATCGTGAGCGCCTGACTGATGGTTTCCTTGGTGCCGCCAACTCCGTGGCCCTCAGTACCCTGGCCGATGACATAGTAGGCAAAGTATTTTCCAGCCCATAACTTGTAATAGGCGACATTTAGCAAACAATTTCCTTGAGTGATTTTTCCTTTGATTTGTACTTCATACTATACACATCACTCTGTCCATGTTTGCTTTACCCCCATGAATGATATGCACTGTACTGGTCTTTGCCTCCCTTCGGGCCTATTTTCTACACTAGCAACGATACCCTTGTGGTATCGGCTATTAGAGCTAGCGCGTATCGTTTGATCTGAAGAGGATCTTCTCAGAGTCTTGTCTCCCTTTTTGGCCAAGGGGCACTCGAACAGGCAAGAGGCTTAAAGAACCACTATGGTTGGTCGATCACGTCTGCTTCGGCTAAAGAGCCGATTCTTGGGAATAGTCGATTCCAGACTTCCAATATTAATCCCACATAGGTCTAAAAA